CATGCGTACGTGAAGCGCTCACCAGTTGCACGTGTGGAGCGTTACATTTCTTTACCTGTTGGATTATCTAATATTTAGGTTAATCGTAACGTCTGGATGCTCACCAGTTGAGTTGCAAGTTTGGAGCGTTCTTATCTGTTGGATTATCTAATATTTAGGTTTTATCGTATCGTCTGGGTGAGTGCATATATATATATATATATATATATATATATATATATATATATATATATAATGTGTGTATATATATGTATATATATATATATATATATATATATATATATATATATATATATATATATATACGTATGTATATATATATACTATCAGACGAATGTTCTTTATTATTGATTTCAATTGTGGATCTGGTTATAACACACAGACCAGGCACATTTTCTCATTTTTTCTTAAGAAATCTGAGAGACCTAAGACACCTCAGTGACATCTGGGTGATCTAAGACATCTGGGTGACATCTGGGTGATCTAAGACATCTGGGTGACATCTGGGTGATTTAAGACATCTGGTGACATCTGGGTGATCTAAGACATCTAGGTGATCTAAGACATCTGGGTGACCTAAGACATCTGTTGACATCTGGGTGACATCTGGGTGATGTAAGACATCGGGTGATCTAAGACATCTGGATGACTTAAGACATCTGGATGACCTAAGACATCTGAGTGAGTGAAGACATCTTGGTGACCTTAAACTATTTACATTCCTCAACCAAGTAGAACATTAAATAAAACACTCATATGATTTATTATTTTACCGACCGTTACGAAAACTATTTCAACCTAGTCTCCCCAAGGGCAATAATCCAATCTGCTCGTATCACAACGATTCCAGTTTGGCACCAGTCTGTCTGGAAATCCCCAGAACAATTTTTACTCGACTGGTCAGTTGTAAAATCTTCTGCTAATGTTCAAAGAGCCGGAAATTTAGAAAAAAAAATCATATTTTCTAATAACTAGTTTAAAAAAATTGCAACTCACATAATGTTTTATAACTTAATACAAGAATTTCCTATAAATATTGATTGTATTTTATCATTACTTCAAAAGACTTTAAAATCTAATAACAAGTCTTTGAAGATGATAAAATTAATTCAAGTAACTAATTAAGCAACGGGAAGTTATTAGTGAAATAATCAACAGACCATTTTTAATTTGAGTATACGATTAGAAACGATTATGGTAAAAAGAATTTCCACGTAAACAAAATTAAGATATTGATTATAAGTATTTTATGGGCCATCTGGCGTGAAGCTTATATAAGGTACATGTATATGATTTTTTTTAAACACAACACTATTACCAGAGAAAGGCTTGGGTCCTACACCCACAGAAAGGCTTGGGTCCTACACCCACAGAAAGGCTTGGGTCCTAAAGCCACAGAAAGGCTTGGGTCCTACACCACAGAAAGGCTTGGGTCTACATCTACACAAGGCTTGGGTCCTACACCCACAGAAAGGCTTGGGTCCTACACCCACAGGTCCTACACCCACAGAAAGGCTTGGGTCCTACACCCACAGAAAGGCTTGGGTCCTACACCCACAGAAAGGCTTGGGTCCTACACCCACAGAAAGGCTTGGGTCCTACACCCACAGAAAGGCTTGGGTCCTACACCCACAGAAAGGCTTGGGTCCTACACCCACAGAAAGGCTTGGGTCCTACACCCACTGGTCCTACACCCACAGAAAGGCTTGGGTCTACATCTACACAAGGCTTGGGTCCTAAAGCCACAGAAAGGCTTGGGTCCTACACCCACAGAAAAGCTTGGGTCCTACACCCACAGAAAGACTTGGGTCCTACACCCACAGAAAGGCTTGGGTCCTACACCCACAGAAAGGCTTGGGTCCTACACACACAGAAAGGCTTGGGTCCTTCACCCACAGAAAGGCTTGGGTCCTACACCCACAGAAAGGCTTGGGCCCTACACCCACAGAAAGGCTTGGGTCCTACACCCACAGAAAGGCTTGGGTCCTACACCCACAGAAAGGCTTGGGCCCTACACCCACAGAAAGGCTTGGGTCCTACACCCACAGAAAGGCTTGGGTCCTACACCCACAGGTCCTAAAACCACATAAAAGGCTTGGGTCCTACATCTACAGAAAGGATTGGGTCCTACACCCACAGAAAGGCTTGGGTCCTACACCCACAGAAAGGCTTGGGTCCTACACCCACAGAAAGGCTTGGGTCCTACACCCACAGGTCCTAAAACCACATAAAAGGCTTGGGTCCTACATCTACACAAAGGCTTGGGTCCAACACCCACAGAAAGGCTTGGGTCCTACACCCACATGTCCTACATCTACACAAAGGCTTGGGTCCTACACCCACAGAAAGGCTTGGGTCCTACACCCACAGGTCCTACACCCACAGAAAGGCTTGGGTCCTACACCCACAGAAAGGCTTGGGTCCTACACCCACAAAAAGGCTTGGGTCCTACACCCACAGAAAGGCTTAGGTCTTTCACCCACAGAAAGGCTTGGGTCCTACACCCACAGAAAGGCTTGGGTTCTACACCCACAGAAAGGCTTGGGTCCTTCACCCACAGAAAGGCTTGGGTCCTACACCCACAGGTCCTACACCTACAGAAAGGCTTGGGTCCTACACCTACAGAAAGGCTTGGGTCCTACATCCACAGAAAGGCTTGGGTCCTAAAGCCACAGAAAGGCTTGGGTCCTACACCCACAGAAAGGCTTGGGTCCTACACCCACAGAAAGGCTTGGGTCCTACACCCACAGAAAGGCTTGGGTCCTACACCCACAGGTCCTAAAACCACATAAAAGGCTTGGGTCCTACATCTACACAAAGGCTTGGGTCCAACACCCACAGAAAGGCTTGGGTCCTACACCCACATGTCCTACATCTACACAAAGGCTTGGGTCCTACACCCACAGAAAGGCTTGGGTCCTACACCCACAGGTCCTACACCCACAGAAAGGCTTGGGTCCTACACCCACAGAAAGGCTTGGGTCCTACACCCACAAAAAGGCTTGGGTCCTACACCCACAGAAAGGCTTAGGTCTTTCACCCACAGAAAGGCTTGGGTCCTACACCCACAGAAAGGCTTGGGTTCTACACCCACAGAAAGGCTTGGGTCCTTCACCCACAGAAAGGCTTGGGTCCTACACCCACAGGTCCTACACCTACAGAAAGGCTTGGGTCCTACACCTACAGAAAGGCTTGGGTCCTACATCCACAGAAAGGCTTGGGTCCTAAAGCCACAGAAAGGCTTGGGTCCTACACCCACAGAAAGGCTTGGGTCCTATACCCACAGAAAGGCTTGGGTCCTACACCCACAGAAAGGCTTGGGTCCTACACCCACAGGTCCTAAAACCACATAAAAGGCTTGGGTCCTACATCTACACAAAGGCTTGGGTCCTACACCAAAAGGTCCTACACCCACAGAAAGGCTTGGGTCCTACACCCACAGAAATGCTTGGGTCCTACTACACACAAAGGCTTGGGTCCTACACCCACAGATAGGCTTGGGTCCTACACCCACAGAAAGGCTTGGGTCCTACTACACACAAAGGCTTGGGTCCTACACCTACAGAAAGGCTCGGGGTTCTAAAATTAAATCTGATTTTATTTCGTCGCTGCAAATGGCGATGATAGTTTTATGGTCTGTGTGTGGTTGAGATCGGGACCTATGGTGTTATGCTTAAATCGATGTGGAAACAGATCGATTTTTGAATGCAAAATATTTTTACAAGCTCGACGTAAAACAAGCAGGAAGAGGGCGATAATTCGTATCCGCCCAGTAATAAAAATATGGTGCCTGATCGATTTTAAATGCAAAATATTTTAATATTTTTTAAAGTTTGACGTAAACGATCAAACATCAAATAATTCGTATTCGTCCAGTAATAAAAAAATTGTTGTGTCAGATCGATTTTAAATGCAACAAATGTTTTGCAAGTTCGAGGTAAAACCTAACAGGAAGAGGGTGATAATTAGTATCCATTAAATTATATATATATATATATATATATATATATATATATATATATATATATATATATATATATATATATATATATATATATATATATATGTATATATATATATATGTATATATATATATATATATATATATATATATATATATATATATATATATATATATATATATATATATATATATATATATATGTATATATATATATATGTATATATTTTTATGTATATATATATATATATATATATATATATATATATATATATATATATACATAAAAATATATACACATATATATGCATATATATATGTATATATATATATATATATATATATATATATATATATATATATATATATATATATATATATATATATATATATATATATATATATATATATATATATATAAATAACCAAATGTATCTTATCTCTTTTTCCCAGATATTCTGCTCCACAAGAATACCCATAGGGTATCTGATATAATGGTTTGATACCTTACATCATCACACACTTGACGCCAGCCCCAACAGTACTCGTCTTTGAGCCCATGGATTCTGATGAGCCCGAGTGTTTGCCCTCCCGCAGTTCTACCCCATCAGGAACCATCTCAGCACAGATCACCTCAGCGCCACGTCACATCCGGCTAGTTGTCGCCCGAACGTAGCTCAAGGGAACTAAATTCTCCCCCTTCTTCACCCGCCCGTGTGATTAGAACATTGCCAGATCAGTGTTACTTCATGATGGAAAAATTTCACAGTGCTGCGATATCAAATTTGGCATAGATTTACAAATACGGAGTTGAGTCTTCCTTGCTGTGCAATTTCCTGGTGTGTTTGGATCATTTCCTTTATTAAAAAAATCACATATATATATATAACTTTATCTGATCTCAAATATAATATCTATATTAAAGTTAAAGCCATAACGTTAAAAATCATACAGCTTCGATTCTATCTATATGAAAGTTAATCACCCGATGTAGAAATGTAATCTATTGTGCTGTACTTATTTATTTCGAGTGTTTAAATGCCAATTTTGGCTGAGAAATTAAAGTTAAACAAAAGGAAATATCTTTCTAAGAAATTCTAATTATGGTGATAGTTTTATTTAACAACTGTATTTACAACGAAAAAACCAAAACGCATTCAGTTATGAAAGTTCATAGGTATGGAATGCTTTTCAGTTGATCTAAAAATAGAATTTTAAACTGGATTTGAAATCAAACAAGAATAACAAGCAACAGGCTTTATGTGGTTTTTCACTTGTTGAAATGTGGCGAGATCACTCCGCGAACTCACTATGATATGCTGCGGGACAAATAGTCCCTTACTTCCGTTTCATGACAAGATGACCAGCACCGCCATCTTGGAGCTGAGTCTGGAGCAGGCTGACCTCGTCTACTACTCAGGTGATCGCATCAGGGGGGCGCTCATCGTGCACGTGGCCGCCCCAGTGACCATAGCAGGTGAGTTGTCTTTTCTTTAATGAGGGCATTGGTAAAGTATGTGTGAGTTGTCTTTTCTTTAATGAGGGCATTGGTAAAGTATATGTGTGTGTTGTCATGTCTTTAATGAGGGCAATGGTAAAAGTATATGTGTGTGTTGTCATGTCTTTAAAAAGGGGAATGGTAAAGTATATGTTAGAGTTGTCTTTTTTTAAAAAAGGCAACGGTAAAGTGTATGTGTCAGTTGTCAATACTTTAAAAAGGGCATTGGTAAAAGTATATGTGTGAGTTATTAGTTGTCAATTCTTAAAAAAGGCATTGGTAAAAGTATTTGTTTGAGTTGCCGATTCTCTAAAAAAGACTTGGTAAAAGTATATGTGTGAGTTGTCATTTCTTTAAAAAGTGCAATCCCTTCCAACACAATTAAGTATACGTGTCAACTGGTTATGCGCCATTGAGGCCATTGACTCCGATTTCAGCCTGCTTTTCTTTTTGGATTTGCTTCCATAGCCTTTGTCCAACCAAGAACAAACTACAAGGCAGCAGTTATTTGATTTTGGAGTTGTCTCTCCTAGAAGAGTGGCTGTCCCCAGCTAACGAGTTCGAACTCGAGACTTTTTGGTTTAGCAACCATGAGTTTTACAGACTCGACCACACCAACACCTTTATAACGTGAGATGGTAAAATAGATATTAAAAAATCACCCGCAATGTAAAAATGAAATGCGAAATGTTGCGTTTCCTTTGCTCCTTGTATGAACGTGTACTAACATGCAGTACATTATATCAATCAATACCAAGATTTACTTTAAATAAAACAATGCAAATGGGGTATGCATCTAAAATCTCAACTTGATAAGCGCAATATTTTTACAATGAAGTAAATCAATACATACGTTTCTTATGAAGTGACTATTGACAAAAAGCTTCAGGGGTTGTTTGGACTTCCTTTTGTCATCGTCAAAAAATTCAGCCCCACCCTCTAAAAAATAACGCTACTAGAGATTAGGTTGATTTATCAATTTTTATCACCTTGTTTTTAAAAATGCAAATTAAACTGAAAATAATTTTGAAAAAAAAAATGCGAAGCTTTATTTTCTAAACACTTCCTATTGTCTCATATCGCTACAAAAGTTCGAACTCAAGTTCGATGCGTGTGACGTCCTTTATGTAAGACAACTTAGTTATAGCATTATAATAGCAGCAATTTGTTACTTTGTTAAATACAAATATAGCTCCACTTTTTTTTCCGCCTAAATCTCCACCTTCGCTTACATACTAGGGTTACAGAGAATCCTTAGATACTAGCGCTATAGAGAAAAAGAATGTTTCCTTAGATACCAGGGCTATGGGGAAAAAAAAAGAATGTTTACATTTGAAAGCTACAATCTCTCAGTCGGATCCAACTAAAAGCCCTGTTTCCTGTGTGACAGTTTAGCAGTCCCCAGACACGGGACGGACACATCAAGTCCCAGACTGGTCAGCCGCTTCACTGGCTCCCTCGGGCACTCCCGGGAGAACAACAAACAGGCGACATCTTGACCCAATTTCCTTAGAGTGCCGTTTAATTTACATATAGAATGGTACCTTAGCTGTTAGCGGTGTTGTGGTCATTAGGATAGGCCATGAAAACATCCCACTTGATACGACCCAGTTTTCTTCCCACTTCACCGGATAGTCGTGAAGCGAATATGAAATATGGTCGAGATTTGTTATGAAGCTTTTAAATTTAGATAGGAATGGGTTAGTTTAGTACAAGCTTATCTAAGTTATTCTGTAAAAACGTACAGATTAAATGTAGTTCTTGTTGTATATATTACAAATGGGGCCTCACCTTTTATTATATATTACAAATTGACCCTTTATCTTGTAGAATTTATGGCAAATCAAATGAGCATTGTGTATTCCAGTTTGATTAAAATGAATCTCATGCTCCAGTAGAAATAAAGTGGTGCCCTCCTGGTTTTATAGCATAAGTGCTGAGATTATTTATCAGTTATGTTATTTAAAACAAATTGACTTAGATAAATAACAACATGATTTCATGAGCCTAATTAGTAAAGAGGTAACTTTATTATGTTGATGTAATAGTTTTCCTCAGAATTAATTATAGAATTAGACAATTCGAGGATATTGGAATAGAGGTGTATGTGGGTAAGTGTGTGTGGGAAAGTGTGTGTGTTTGTGAGAGGGAAGGCCATTCCACCGCTTGATACTCCGAAACCGAATAGATCATTCAAAGGAAATGTTAGGCTCTTTTCTTTCATGTTTCTGAAATCACGGAAACTAAAACTTAATAAAAAATGGTCTGGATCCACAGTGTAACCGTATCTGCTCTAGGGTTGATAGCCACACGCTGAACGTGAGCACGAGATGAATGCGCGTGCGTGCGAGTCGGTTGTGAGCTATTGAATTCTTTATAATGATAGAACACCCTGTCCCCCCCCTCCCCCTCCCCACCTCGTTAATGCTCCACCGGTGGAGTCGCGGCCTATCGGTTACCGTAAAGGTTACACCGCCTCACCCTTTGTCCACCGAGGTTGGTCTAAACGTAGCTGTCCGCACGCTAGCACGACGATCGTTTGCAGGAGAACATTTTGTAACGACGATCGCTTGCAGGAGAACATTTTGTAACGACGATCGCTTGCAGAAGAACAATTTGTAGTTCTCGAGGCACGGTGAGGTCATTGCACGCGCAGCTAGACAGAAATAGTTGGTAATTTGAGGTGCATGGGAAGATAAAATGTGTGACGTTTTAGGTCAGCTACAGTGAACAGAGAATGTGTGTATAGTTAGATCATGCACAAATAAGAAAAAAAATGTTTAAATAGCTGAGGTGTAAAGTCACAACAAATCTATGAATAGCCCAACTACAAGTACACACCAAACCTGTCAATAGTCTAACTACAACCACACAACAAACCTGTCAATAGTCTAGCTTCAACTATACAACAAATGTGAATATTACTACTATAAGTACACAAAATCCTTTGAGTATTACAACTACAACTACACAACAATCCTGAGAATATTACAACTACAGATACTCAAAACACTTGTGTATATTACAACTACAACTACACAACAATTCTGTGTATATTACAACTACAAGTAAACAAAAACCTTATGGGCAGTCTAGTTGGTAGACATCAGTTTTCTCTAAACTTAACCTTAACCCTAAGTCTAACCAAACCGACTAACGTGTCGTAATCAATAAAATCGATATATTAACAGGCGCCTACCTCGTGAATAACTAATGTTAGTATGCTAGATATACAACACAATCTTCTGGCTAGTTCGTTTAGTTATACAAACAACAAGAAACTCTGTCTAGCCGCACGCAATGCTAGTATCAGCGCTAATCAAACAAGAACCAGCAAATTTTATAAATAGCTGCATTATCATAATTTATGTATCTATGTTGACAGCAGCTGCTATAAAAAATTAACGATAAAAGTCAAAGGTCAAGTTTTAAAAAAACAAACTCACCAAGCGGTATTTAATATAATTATCGTTTAGTTGTATTGATTGACAATCTGGCGTCGACGGGAATACAAAACGGGTGTTTCGTTGTTATGGTAACCGGCTATTTTCCTGTTTGTTATTTATACATTTTTCCCCCAGAGAAGCAAGATATTAAAATAGCGATGAGGGTTTTACTTAAGATAAATACGACTAGCTTTATCTGATGACTCGGCAGTTTTAAAGATTAAGTTGGCTCAATGTGCGGGTTTAGGCAAAAATGGGATCACATTTATATCAGCAATCCAGCTGGTGATACTTACTTTAGGATCGTGATACTAGCTGTAGGGCAGGGATACTAGATTTAGTGATACTATCTTTAGGATAGTGATACTTGCTTTAGGGCAGTGATACTAGCTTTAGGTTTGTGATACTAGCTTTAGGGCAGTGATACTAGATTTAGTGATACTATCTTTAGGATAGTGATACTTGCTTTAGGGTAGTGATACTAGCTTTAGTGATACTAGCTTTAGGATAGTGATACTTGCTTTAGTGATACTTGCTTTAGTGATACTTGCTTTAGTGATACTTGCTTTAGGATCGTGATACTAGTTTAGGGCAGTGATACTAGCTTGAGTGATACTAGCTTTAGGGCAGTGATACTAGCTTTAGGTTAATGATACTAGCTTTAGTGATACTAGCTTTAGTGATTCTAGCTTTAGGATAGTGATTCTAGCTTTAGGGTAGTGATAACAGCTTTAGGGTAATGATACTAGTTTTAGTGATACTACTTAGGTTAGTGACACTAGCTTCAAGGTAGTGATACTAGATTTAGTGATACTAGCTTTAAGATAGTGATACTAGCTTAAGGGTAGTGATAGTAGCTTTAGGGTAGTGATATTAGCTTCAGGGTAGTGATATTAGCTTCAGGGTAGATATACTGGCTTTGAGGTAGTGATACTAGCTTAAGGGTAGTGATACTAGCTCTAGGATAGCGATACTGGCAAAATTAGCCTCAATCTCCCATGCTGCCATTTAAAAACTCACCCACTTCACCGAAAAAAAAAATCCAACGGAACACGAAGCCAAAAGTTCGCTTAAAACCTGACATCAAAAACACCCAATCACTTCCCTTTAACATCCCCTACATCTTCCTCTCCTGACATAAAAAACACCCAATCACTTCACTTTAACATCCCCTACATCTTCCTCACAGCCACCAAAAAAAAAAAAAAAAAAAAAAAAAAAAATCCCCTCTCCAAATTTACGCTGACCCACCTCACACCCCCACCCCCACACAACTCTAGCCCCACCCAGACCAAATTGAGTCAGGACCGTTCCCGTCCATCAACATAGGCGACGCCCCAACGACCGCAAACGTGACGATAAAAGCATCACTCTTCATCTAGGTTAGCTCTAGATCGATACGGAACCAAAAAAAGTGCTTGCTCTGGCACTACTCACATGCCACTACATCCCATCTCACGGTCCCACACAGCCTCACACAGCCCCCCCACAACACCACACACATGCCACTACAGGCCCACTCACATGCCACTA